GGGTTTTCGTGGAACGGCCCCAGCTAACAGCCGAAAGTCCCGACTCCTTTCGGCCAGGAGAAGGGGCAACCAAGCCTCAAGACTCAAAAACGAAAACCATCAGCCCCTAGAGCAGCATGCGTAGTCAAGACATGAGAACTGATCTCACAGTTATGGGGCCCCTGAAAAAGGGCGGTTCATGGCGGGTAGGTACCTAGGGAACCTGTCACGAACCTTGGGTTACATACCCCCCCGTGAACCCCCCTCCCTTAAGGACCCTATAAAGCACGCCCAACAGCCTGAAAAGACATCCGCGGGTCGGACGAAGGTGGGATTTGGAAGACCCCCTAAGTATCCGACTAGGGTTTAGGCTTTAGGTTTTAGGCTTTAGGGTTTAGGCTTTAGGGTTTATGGTTTAGGGTTACCTAATATGGTTCTAGTTTGTGTTGAAAATGTTCGTGTTGGATTGGGGTATTAAGTACCATGAACCTCCAAGCAACCCATAGGCCCTCAAAAGCCTAAGCCTGCGCGCGCACAGCAATTGTTGAGTCGCGCGTGGAAACATGCAAGGCATGCGAGCGCTCGCACTTAAAAAAGTGATGGGTCAGGGCAACTTTGCACCCAAATCTAAGCCCGCGATTACAGGGTTTAGGGTTTAGGTTTAGAGTTTATAGGCTTTAGGGTCCCCAGCCTACTCCAAGGGGTTCAAGCTGGGCACTTGACAAACACGTGGCTTCGGGTTCTTTGGCATGTTCAAACCATTAAACTGTGAAGCGAGAACCTGGACCTGAAGCCCTCGAAGTAGCTTAAGCCCCAGAGGAGACCCTGAAGCTCCAGAATCTGACATAAAGATCAGCCAAAGCGCCACCTTCCCTGTTTTGTCCACGTCTTCTACGCATACTCGCTATGATGTAGGGAAGGCAGATTGTGGGCCACTTCATGCCTGGACGTTGCACCATCATAACTGCAGTCAGATGCGTTTACCTGAACTTTTCTGCTCGTCTGCCGCAGCTTGCCTGCCAGCAGCCTGGTCATCCAAGATCCATCTTCCACCATGGCCCTCCGCGTGCTGGCCGCCGTGCTCCTGGGCGCTGCCGCGTGGCAGTGCGCCTTCGTGAGCTCCGGCGCCGGGCCGACGCGCTCCCCGCAGGTGGGCGCGCAGGCGGCCACCGGCCGCTCTCTCTCCGCCGTTGAGGAGGAGGTGACCTCTCCCATGGTGTCCGTCGGGGTTGGCGCCCTGGTGGGCTTGCTGGTGGCCCTGGCCGGCGCGTCCCCGGCATTCGCCCAGCGCAACCAGGGCTACAACGGCAACGTCACCGATGAGCTGGTGCGCTACGACAAGCCCGCGGGCACCGACAACCTCCTCAAGGAGCTCAAGAGCACGGACAAGAAGTCGTTCTACGAGGGCAAGACGGACCTGGACTACAGGAACAAGGGCTTCAGGATGGAAGAGAGCGTTTCCGAGCGGGCCCTGCAGAAGGGCAGCAAGATGTGAAGGCTGCGCAGCATCATGTTTTTGTGAGATTTTGTGAGCCCGAAAGACTGCCGCACCTGCCAGCGACCAGCAACAAAGCCTTTTGCATTCTTCTGCACGTGTTCGAATCCGACGTGGAGGGCAGAGCTGTAGCCCGTACTTTGAGGGCTCATGGGTAGTAGGCATAAATATCAGTAGTTTTTTACAGGTGCTCGTACCCAAAATAGCGTCATAACCATCCTCAACCCAAAAACCCTAAACCCTAAACCCTAAACCAAAAACCCTAAAAACCACTTGCAAGAAAGACCTTGCATGCAACCCTGAAACTCCAAGGAGGGCTCTCTTCATCTTGTTGGGTTTAGGGTTTAGGGTTTAGGGTTTAGGGTTTAGGGTTTAGGGTTTAGGGTTTAGGGTTTAGGGTTTAGGGTTTAGGGTTTAGGGCTTTGGTTTTTTTCAGCTTCACTGCTTCAGGCTTTTGGGAAAAGATGGTCCTTCGGAGCTTTGGATTTGGCAGTTCGGGGTTTGGGCGGTTCGGCTGTAGGATTTATAGGGTTTAGGGTTGGAAGGTTGGAATGAGGGGTAGCTGTTTAAGTCCGGGTTTTTAGGGCAAGGGGCCTGTTCTGAGAAAGACCTGAAACTGCAGCAAGCAACGTGTGTCAAAGTTGCTGTTTCTAAAACCATCGGACTCCAAGGGGGTACCCCCAAAACAGACCCAATCAGAGCGGGCTTTTTACAGGCTTAAGGTATGTTCGGGCCCAGTATTACGGTGTCTAAACTCTCCCTTTGCAATACTAATCTGATGCCTTCCTTTGCGATCCGCGGGTCAGAGTCCGAGATTGGTCTTTGTGTTACGCAAATGCGTTGTTGAGCTGCGTTACCAGTGTTGCGGTTCAATCCAGCTGCATGGCTGTTTGCATACTGGCTGGAGGTTTTTGAAAGCCGTCAGAGTTCCTGCTTGCCTGCCCCCAGCTAGACTCGAGACCATGGCCCTCCGCGTGCTGGCCGCCGTGCTCCTGGGCGCTGCCGCGTGGCAGTGCGCCTTCGTGAGCTCCGGCGCCGGGCCGACGCGCTCCCCGCAGGTGGGCGCGCAGGCGGCCACCGGCCGCTCTCCTTCCGCCGTTGAGGAGGAGGTGACCTCTCCCATGGTGTCCGTCGGTGTTGGCGCCCTGGTGGGCTTGCTGGTGGCCCTGGCCGGCGCATCCCCGGCATTCGCCCAGCGCAACCAGGGCTACAACGGCAACGTCACCGATGAGCTGGTGCGCTACGACAAGCCCGCGGGCACCGACAACCTCCTCAAGGAGCTCAAGAGCACGGACAAGAAGTCGTTCTACGAGGGCAAGAAGGACCTGGACTACAGGAACAAGGGCTTCAGGATGGAAGAGAGCGTTTCCGAGCGGGCCCTGCAGAAGGGCAGCAAGATGTGAAAGCTCTGCAGGCCACTTGCTGGCAAGGAACACACGACGCGAAAACTGTCATGTAGAACAATTGTCACCATATGTCACTGCAGATTGGTCGTCGCCACTGCTCGCATCAAAAGGTCTCTTGAAGTGCCAAGCATTGATGCGGGTTGGCAGCTGAATCATTGTCTTCTACGAGCAGCTCAGGTAGCTAAACATCAGACAACATATCACCTTACCTCCGACTTCAGATATGTGATAGTGTAAAGTTTTCTAGGGGAACCCCTAGCCAAACATGCCATAGCAGTTGCATGTCTGGCGGCTATCTGGCTCACCGGTGAGCTTGCCAGCTCGCACGTTTACCTCCAAACTCGAGACCATGGCCCTCCGCGTGCTGGCCGCCGTGCTCCTGGGCGCTGCCGCGTGGCAGTGCGCCTTCGTGAGCTCCGGCGCCGGGCCGACGCGCTCCCCGCAGGTGGGCGCGCAGGCGGCCACCGGCCGCTCTCTCTCCGCCGTTGAGGAGGAGGTGACCTCTCCCATGGTGTCCGTCGGGGTTGGCACCCTGGTGGGCTTGCTGGTGGCCCTGGCCGGCGCGTCCCCGGCATTCGCCCAGCGCAACCAGGGCTACAACGGCAACGTCACCGATGAGCTGGTGCGCTACGACAAGCCCGCGGGCACCGACAACCTCCTCAAGGAGCTCAAGGGCACGGACAAGAAGTCGTTCTACGAGGGCAAGACGGACCTGGACTACAGGAACAAGGGCTTCAGGATGGAAGAGAGCGTTTCCGAGCGGGCCCTGCAGAAGGGCAGCAAGGCGTAAACGAGCTAGCTACATTTTTTTGTATCTGGGGTTTCTCCTTGAGGGAGGTCCACGAAGGCCATGTTTACTACCCAGTTTCATCGTTAGGGCATGATATTCGTGCGAGCAGATACTCCAGGACATATGCAGAAACCCTTGCTCTATCGCTGAGCACAAAGACTTCGTCTGTAAAACGCCCGAGCCGACATTGGGTGCAAAAAGCCGGCATCGGCGGTCTCGAACATACAAGCTGAAAGACCTGTAAGCCCTGAGCCCTAAGAGCCTAACCATTCTGAGTCCCGCACTGCACCCTCACTGCAACTTGTAGATGCTCAGCTTTACACCCCCCCCCCCCGAATCCTAAACCCTATAGTACGGTGATTGCACCCTAAACCTGGACCTGAAACTTATATCCTAAGAACTGGCGGGCACATGTTTGTGCATGATGACCCTGACAACAAATTCCTCAGAAACTCGATGTAAGTAAGAGAAGCCCTGAAAACCCTCGAAACTCGAAGCCCCAAACCTTCGAAACCCTAAAATTCTGGGCTCAGCGGTGTCGAGGGCCACCCTAAACCCTAAACCCAAAGCCCTAAACCCTAAACCCTAAACCCTAAACCCTAAACCCTAAGCCCTAAACCCTAAACCCTAAACCTAAACCCTAAACCCTAGGGTTCCGCAGCGAGCTCGGCTGCCAACCGCAAGCCATGCGGCGAGGAACTCTGTTCAGGCGACGGGGTTGCGCTTCAGGAAGTGGGCTCTTGGCCCTTAGTCCCCGTTTTAAGGGTTTAGGGTTTAGGGTTTAGGGTTTAGGGTTTAGGGTTTAGGGTTTAGGGTTTAGGGCTACTAGGGCCCTGCAGAGGCTCTGATTCCCCTCTTTTTGGGTTTAGGCTCCCTTAAAACGACACTTTGAAACCAAGAAGGGCGCCCGATGTATTCCTAGGTTACTCTTGGGTCTAGGGTTTTCATTCGAAGGCGAGTAGCGCAGCATATCAAGGCATGGCTTCGGTTGAGGAACTGCAGTTAGGTTTCTGTTTTCAGGGTGGTTCGTTCGCTTTACTTGGTTCCCCTAAACACTAAACCCTAAACCCTAAACCCTAAACCCTAAACCCTAAACCCTAAACCCTAAACCCTAAACCCTAAACCCTAAACCCTAACCCTTGTAGGGTTGGGGGCCCAAGCTCCATCAAGTACGACCTGCAGTCGACACCAAACATGCTGCAAAAGGTCTGAGTGCGAGTACCCATACGTCGTGACATGCAGTGCACGTGTTTAGGATTCATGTCGGAGCAGCGGAAGCCTATTTTTGAAGTCTGCCCGCGCGCTCCTCCCGGAAGCTCACAGCTCCACCATGGCCCTCCGCGTGCTGGCCGCCGTGCTCCTGGGCGCTGCCGCGTGGCAGTGCGCCTTCGTGAGCTCCGGCGCCGGGCCGACGCGCTCCCCGCAGGTGGGCGCGCAGGCGGCCACCGGCCGCTCTCTCTCCGCCGTTGAGGAGGAGGTCACCTCTCCCATGGTGTCCGTCGGTGTTGGCGCACTGGTGGGCTTGCTGGTGGCCCTGGCCGGCGCGTCCCCGGCATTCGCCCAGCGCAACCAGGGCTACAACGGCAACGTCACCGATGAGCTGGTGCGCTACGACAAGCCCGCGGGCACCGACAACCTCCTCAAGGAGCTCAAGGGCACGGACAAGAAGTCGTTCTACGAGGGCAAGACGGACCTGGACTACAGGAACAAGGGCTTCAGGATGGAAGAGAGCGTTTCCGAACGGGCCCTGCAGAAGGGCAGCAAGGCGTAAACGAGCTAGCTACATTTTTTTGTATCTGGGGTTTCTCCTTGAGGGAGGTCCACGAACATGTTTACTACCCAGTTTTATCGTTAGGGCATGATATTCGTGCGAGCAGATACTCCAGGACATATGCAGAAACCCTTGCTGTATCGCTGAGCACAAAGACTTCGTCTGCAAAACGCCCGAACCGACATTGGGTGCAAAAAGCCCGAGGCAGTTGCCCCCAGAAGCCGTCTGCACATCTTTCGCTGACAAGCCTGTAATCCCAAAAAATGCAAATGGAAATCGACAAGCAACCCATGAACCAAGACCCCGATTCTGAAGAATATTCCTTGGTCACCGAATTAAACCTTAACGTGTCACCAGGAAGTAGTCTGAAGCGTGCGGACCTCACGCCAAAGCCACAACCCGCTGCCTTTGCACCCTCCTGAGATCCCCGATCCCCCAAATTACATTCCAGACCCCAGTTGTTGCGTGGGGCCTTTTGCGATTGATACGTGGGGAGCTCGGTTTTGTTTTGCTGACCTACCTGAAGTTCAATCAAGCGCTGGTCCTTGTTGGCCCTGACTTTTCCCCCGAAGACTACAAATCATGCCGTCGCGCAACATGGGACCTATGCTAGATTTGCACCGCGTGTGTTTAGGATTCATGTCGGAGCAGCGGAAGCCTATTTTTGAAGTCTGCCCCCGCGCTCCTCCCGGAAGCTCACAGCTCCACCATGGCCCTCCGCGTGCTGGCCGCCGTGCTCCTGGGCGCTGCCGCGTGGCAGTGCGCCTTCGTGAGCTCCGGCGCCGGGCCGACGCGCTCCCCGCAGGTGGGCGCGCAGGCGGCCACCGGCCGCTCTCTCTCCGCCGTTGAGGAGGAGGTCACCTCTCCCATGGTGTCCGTCGGTGTTGGCGCACTGGTGGGCTTGCTGGTGGCCCTGGCCGGCGCGTCCCCGGCATTCGCCCAGCGCAACCAGGGCTACAACGGCAACGTCACCGATGAGCTGGTGCGCTACGACAAGCCCGCGGGCACCGACAACCTCCTCAAGGAGCTCAAGGGCACGGACAAGAAGTCGTTCTACGAGGGCAAGACGGACCTGGACTACAGGAACAAGGGCTTCAGGATGGAAGAGAGCGTTTCCGAGCGGGCCCTGCAGAAGGGCAGCAAGTGAAGGCTAAGCAGCCTTATGTTTTTGCGAGCGCACGAAAGACTTGCGCACCTGCCTGCGACCAGCAGACAAACAGTCACCGCAGATTGGTCTTTGCTAAGCAACTTTAGGCTCCACCTCGCTCCGAATCGCACTCCCGCCTCCACACGGTTTAGGGTTTGGGGTTTGGGTTTAGGGTTTAGGGTTTAGGGTTGAGGGTTGAGGGTTTGCCCAAGTCAGGAACCATGAGTCCGGAACTATCCTGGCGAGACGGGGATAGGAGTCGGGAAAATTGATGAGGAGAGTCGGGTAGTCATGAAAACAGAGAGTCTAACCCCCCCCCTGCCCGCAGCTTCGCCCGAACCTTCTTTCTTCGCCATGTAAACGTACATTGCATACTTCCTCACCATACGTCCTGACTCTCGTCTCCCTCGATTCCCGACTCTCGCTTTGTTTATGTTCGTCGGGCATGTGCCCGTTTATTCCTGAAGGTTGGGATGTTTGCCCTTATACTAACAATCCGCATGAAGGACTATACTAGGAGGTACTAGTATCCCCAGTAAGGACTGTTAATATAAGGGGGAACCTCCTTTAAAGGGTTCTGAAGTATGGGCCCTTTTTTATATAGGGTATATAAGGGGCACGCACCCGTTTACGGGCCCATACTGAGGGACCGTGTAGCTACCCTTGAATGATGCAGGCCCTCCGCTGCCAATCCTTTAAAGCCTTACAAGTTCCGAGTTTACGGTTTCGAGTTTAGGGTCAGAGGTATGTGGGGTTTGGGGCCGAGGTTTGGGGTTAAGGGGTTCAGCTTTGAATGTTGAGGGTTGAGGGTTTAGGACCCAAGGTTTACGTTTCAGGTGTGAAGATTCATAAGGCATTTGATCGCCTTACCGAAGCCAAAACAGTGCACAGCCATTTAAACTCAGCCTTGCTGTGACACCCTGAACCCCAAAGCCTGAAGTGGCAGGCAACGTTTTAGGGTTTGGGGATTTTAGGGTTTGGGGATTAAGCGTATAAGGTTTAGACGTCACAACAGAGAAAAATTGTCTTTCACCTCAGATTGTTTAAAAGTCCAGGAAGACAGCAATTGCATCTTCATATCTGCCCTTGGCTGCTGAGATTGCCAGCTCGCACTTCTTCCTCGCTGTCGAGACCATGGCCCTCCGCGTGCTGGCCGCCGTGCTCCTGGGCGCTGCCGCGTGGCAGTGCGCCTTCGTGAGCTCCGGCGCCGGGCCGACGCGCTCCCCGCAGGTGGGCGCGCAGGCGGCCACCGGCCGCTCTCTCTCCGCCGTTGAGGAGGAGGTGACCTCTCCCATGGTGTCCGTCGGTGTTGGCGCACTGGTGGGCTTGCTGGTGGCCCTGGCCGGCGCGTCCCCAGCATTCGCCCAGCGCAACCAGGGCTACAACGGCAACGTCACCGATGAGCTGGTGCGCTACGACAAGCCCGCGGGCACCGACAACCTCCTCAAGGAGCTCAAGAGCACGGACAAGAAGTCGTTCTACGAGGGCAAGACGGACCTGGACTACAGGAACAAGGGCTTCAGGATGGAAGAGAGCGTTTCCGAGCGGGCCCTGCAGAAGGGCAGCAAGATGTGAGGGCTCCGCAACCTTATGTTTTTGTGAGCGCACGAAAGACTGCCGCACCTGCTTGCGACAGGAAAACTACTGGCATCTGTTTCTGTGTCATGTGGACGAGTATCGGGCAGCTTTAGGCGGTGTGGTTAACTACGTAACCGTAAGAAAGCCCTTTCAATATAGGGAATAGCTTCCTCTAGTCTCCCCCGAAAACCTGTTCTACTTATCTAAGCTCCTGCAGTAACCGAAGTCGCTCAAGATACGCAAGCATGCGCAACGGTAAGATGACAACTGGCCAAGCCTCTACGTGATGGTTGGTTTGCCTGAGAAATATGTACGTAGCACCTACATGTGTACACCCAAAACTGGGCTTGAATTGGAAGAAGATTTCAAGTTCTACGGGCCCTGATGTATAACAGCGGAGGGTTTGGGCTTAAGGGAGTTTAGGGTTTCGGGTTTGGGGTTTAGGGTTTAGGGCAAGGGTTTCGGGTTTGGGGTTTAGGGTTTAGGGTTTAGGGTCTAGGGTCTAGGAAAGATGGAGATTGCAATCGTGAAGCTTAAGGTGCCCTTGAAATAGGGCGAGGTGACCTACCCAGACCCCTGGAAGCATCGAGAAAGTAGCGCCCCAAGTAGTATCCTATGCTACGTACCATTTAGAGAGACCCTAAACCCTAAACCCTAAAACCCTAAACCCTAAACCCTAAACCCTAAACCCTAAACCCTGAACCCTGAACCCTGAACCCTGAACCCTAAACCCTGAACCCTGAACCCTGAACCCTAAACCCTAAAGCCTAAACCCTGAACCCTAAACCCTAAACCCTAAACCAACCTGGGCATCTACAGCCACCCAAAGACTTGCTAAACTGGCCTAGGTAGCGTATCGGAGAGAAGACGCAGCCATCACACGAAAACACGTTGGACGTATGATATAATGGAATGGACAAGTTTGGATTAAATAGAATAGAATAGAATAGAATATATAGATCAGATGAAAGATTGCGGATAGTGATGTTTTGTGAAGGGCGCAACTGATTTGATGACGATGCGCAGACATGTTGGTGGTGTCGGCTCAGTTTTTTTGAAGCAGCATCTTCGTGGCCTCTCCCAGCCTCCCCCAGCCATACTCGAGACCATGGCCCTCCGCGTGCTGGCCGCCATGCTCCTGGGCGCTGCCGCGTGGCAGTGCGCCTTCGTGAGCTCCGGCGCCGGGCCGACGCGCTCCCCGCAGGTGGGCGCGCAGGCGGCCACCGGCCGCTCTCCTTCCGCCGTTGAGGAGGAGGTGACCTCTCCCATGGTGTCCGTCGGTGTTGGCGCCCTGGTGGGCTTGCTGGTGGCCCTGGCCGGCGCGTCCCCGGCATTCGCCCAGCGCAACCAGGGCTACAACGGCAACGTCACCGATGAGCTGGTGCGCTACGACAAGCCCGCGGGCACCGACAACCTCCTCAAGGAGCTCAAGGGCACGGACAAGAAGTCGTTCTACGAGGGCAAGAAGGACCTGGACTACAGGAACAAGGGCTTCAGGATGGAAGAGAGCGTTTCCGAGCGGGCCCTGCAGAAGGGCAGCAAGATGTGA